AAGGCTGCCGTGCCTGGCCCGCGGTGTGCGGGTGCAGCGTGGGAGCCAGGCCCGTGTGCCTGCCCCAGCACTGCCCAGCCGCTCAGGCTCTAACCCTCTCCTGCTGCCTCCTCTCTAGTTTTTCCAGAAGGCAGCAATCAACGTGCGCGATAACGTCGGGGAGGAGGTGGACCCGGAGCAGCTCATCCAGGAGACCTGTCGGAGCTGCCTGGAGCAGGTGGGTACTAGCGAGGGGCTCTGGTGCCTGGCCAAACGGTGCAGCCCGCCTGGCACAGCTCCCTCTTAATTGCTTTGCCATTAGCCAGGGGGGGACATCTGCAGCCCTTGTGTGGTTCCTGTGCTTTGCTTCATCCTCACTGGGAAGAGGAGGGCGGGCAGGGCTGGGCAGCTCGTGCCGCTGCTGCTTTCCACTGCTGCTGTCAGCACGTGTCACACGGCCGGATCTCCCGCAGAGACCAGCCCCTGTCAGAGAGTCCTGGGTGGGTGGAGTGGGACTTTTTCTTTCACATCTTGTTTTTGTCCCAGTTGCCCACCCTTTATCGCACTCATCATGCTTTTGCATCTCTCTGTCTGTGAAAGCACTGTGTGGCGGCACTCCAATGCGGAGCTGTTGCAGGGCTTTCAGGCAGATACACTAAAGTGGGGGGTGCTGGCAGGTCCCCCTCTGGACCCGGAATCAGGTAACCCTTCCTTCTCTTCCTGCAGGCCAAACTGCTGTTCTCTGATGGCAAAAAGGTTGTTCCCAGGTTGCCCCATGAGCAGGCAGTACCAAAGGTAAGAGTTGTTGTTATTCCCTGAGGCTCGAATGACTTGTAGGAGCTGGGAGAAGGAGAAGGAGGGTGGGAATTTCTTTGTTCTCTGCCACTTCTTGTCCGTCAGTGCACTAGCGAGGAGGCAGAGCTGGGGAACGTTAGGTTAGGACAGAGCGGTACCTGCAGGGCAACGAAAATCCCAGTCGCTGCTCGTTGTAGTTCGGTGCTTGTCACCAAGACAGGGTGGGGCCGGCGTTTCCCTGTACGCTTGTGCTCCCTGCCTTGAGCACAGCAAAGGAGAGAGCGGCCAGCTGGATGCGTGGGGCCCTGCCCGCCTGGCAGGGAGAAAGGTCCTGCTCATCCCACTGCTGTTCTTCTTCCAGCGTGCCCGACAGATGGATGAGGAGCTGAATCGTCGAGGGAGCCCCGTTCCCAAAAAGGTAGGAGGGTTTTCCACACAAGGGGTTTTATGTTCTGGAAAGCCTGCTCCTCGTTCCTGGCCATTCCCGTAGTATGAGTTCACGCAAGGGCACAGGCAGCTTTTGGGGTGCCGCGGAGCTGGTCATGCTGTGCCAGCCAGCATTTCCGCTCATGACAAAAAGAGCAGCTTCCTGGGAGGGCATGGGTAGTGAGAGGGTTCTCAGCCTGCACAGCTGAGTCACCGGAGGATTTCTTCCACACAGAGAAAGGGGCGGCCTCCAGGACAGAGCCTGTTGAACGATCGCGGGGTCTCGGGCATGACTGCGTGAGTATGGGTGCTGAGCCACAGCGCCAGTTTTGGGAGGGCGAGGGGGAAATGAAGCTGCCCGAATTGGGGAGTACCGAAACCCTGCGGTCTCCTTTCCCTCCTGCACGAAGGAGAGGTGCCAGAGGGAGAGCAGGAGGGGGTTAGGTTGAGCTGTTCCCTCCCCTGCCCCGGAATCAAAAACCTTCAAGGAAGTGGTTTTAAAACGGGCCCAAAGGGGTGAAAAGGTCCAGCTGGACCGTGCAGAGTGAGCTGTGTGAGAGATGGGTGGTGGTGGGATCTTGGCAGCCGGGGAGAGGGGAATGTGCAGCGAAGCTGAGGGTCTGGAGCTGCGCACCCCAGGGGAGCGGAGGGTGTGAAGGAAGACGGGTCTGGAAGGGCTGGGGCTCAATCCCTGCTGTTGGTGCCGCGGTGGTGACTGCGCTGGTCCCACAGGGACTCATTCTTACTGCGTTTTCCTTCCCTTCAGGTGGAAGCTCAAAGCCTCTGAGCCCGTGAGAAGGGATGGACCAAAGGTATTGGCTGGCCGACACCGCTGGGCTCACCCTCTCCTCCCCTTTGCTTCCACTGGCAGAGCCCTACTGCTGCGGGAGCGGAGGACAGCGCTGAGCTGTGCTCTGCCCCGACGGGCCCCTGCAGTGCAGGAGAAAAGCAAGAAGAGGAGCGAAGTGCCTGGAGGCCTTTGCTTGTCTCCCCCAGGCACTGTAGCCTGTAGCTCTGCGGTGTGGTGCCGCTGTTAGGAGACCTGGGGAGAGCAGTAGTAGCCAGGAGGATCCCACAAGTGTTTCCCACGAGGGAAACGGCTTAGATCAGCCCAGCGGGAATGTGACTTCCCTCCCCTGCGGAAGTCCCCTGCGGAGGTCTGTGGCCAGCTCCTTCCCTCCCAGGCCAGGGGTGGTTCCGAGGTTCCCCATCAGAGAGCTGAGGCTCGTGGAGCAATGGCTGGCACCAGCTTCATTTCTAATGTTGCCCCTTTTCCAATTGCTCTGTAGTGGGATCCATCCCGACTGACTGAAACCACAACCTTTGTGCTGGGATCTCGAGCAAACAAGTAAGGAATGGCCCTGTCGATGGAGGGTGGTGTCTCCCAGGCAGGAGCCCGTTAAGACTCCTCCCGTCACTTCGCTTCTCTGCCTCAAAAGCAGTAGGAAGGGCTTGGGGAGGAGAGGAGGTGTCCCCGTACCACCGCAGCCACCCTCCGCACAGGCGTAACACCCCCTTGTCTTCCTCTTTCAGAGCTCTCGGGATGGGAGGAACAAGAGGGCGACTCTACATCAAGCATCCCCACCTCTTTAAGGTCAGATGCTGCAGCAGGACGCTTCCTCCTCTGGGGTTTGCTCAGAAACGGTTTCTGATGGGAATCGGGAGCGTGTGCTTCGGCTCGCTTGTCTTCTTCCTCCCCCACGCCCTCCTTTGTTACCTTGGAGCACGTTACGCACGCAGTCGGGCTAGCACACCGGAACATAAGTTAACGGCTTAGCGCAGCCTCCGAGGCGGTGGGTTTGCCTGGAGCCAGGGCTTGAGGTTGGAGAGAGGGCAGGCAGAGCTGAGCCCTCCCCCGGCAGCCCCCGCCGGGCAGCTCTGCGGGGGGCAGCGGGCCCCAGGGTGCGCTGGAGTGGGCGCAGCGTCCCAGCAGGAGGGTGGTCAGAGCGGGAGGTCTCTTGCCTGTGTTCAGCCAGGTCCTTGCTGCTTTATTGCAGTACGCAGCCGACCCGCAAGATAAGCACTGGCTGGCAGAGCAGCAGCACATGAGGGCCACTGGGGGCAAGATGGTGAGTACGCCCGGGCTCGCGGCTCCTGCAGCCGGCGGGAACCACGCAGAGACCCACCGCAGGGCTAGGATGGGCGGAGGAGCAGCGAGCCCGGGCGCGCGCAGG